ATCCTCCTGCCTCAGCCTCCCGAGTAGCTGGGACTACAGGCATGCGCCATCATGCCCGGCTAATTAGTAAAATACTTTTTTTTCCTTGAGTCATTACAGCATAGTGGTTGAAAGCAGAGTATCAGGCAGACTGCCTGTGTCAGATCTCAGCTCTAGGATTTACTAGGTGTGTCATTTAACTTCTCTGTGCTTCAGTTTCCTCATGACTGAATGAGGATGGTAGTGGTTATGAGAATTAAACGAATTAAAAAATATATATTACAGCACTTAAACCATGGTGCCTGGCCCATAGGAAACACTTTGTTAGAGCTAGCTGTTATGTTTCCTTTCGAGTGTGGTCCTGTTCCCCTGGCCATTATGTATGTGGTTTGATGCCCCAAATCGTTATTTATTAAAGGGAAACAAATACCAAGGATCAAGAAGTTGGTGAAAAGAAGATAAAAAGGGAAGAAAGCATCAAGGCAGAGAGAAGGAGATCAGAGAGCTTTTTAGGGACTTCTGAAGAAGGTATGAATGATTGTTTATAATAGTCTGCAGTAGCCTGCAGTCCTTGGGCTTTGATGAGCATCAAAGTTATTTAGAAATTTTTCCCAGATGCTATACATAATCCTCCTACCTTTGATAATTTGTTTTTTCCTGCAGTTCAGCCTAGGTTTTCTGTTAATTGCCAATCATAGCTTCATCACAAAACAGTAATAACATCCAATTCTATTTATAAAGCAAACCTTCACCCAGTCTTATCATCATTATCTTGTACATTGTCTGGAAAGATGTTTTGCTTCTAATTGTCTGACATCTTCAAAAGAGTTTTAAATTTAGCTCACATAGATGCTGTAGATTCCAATAAGAAATCATATTTTATGGAATTTAAATGGGATCTACAAGTAATTTGAAAGTTATAAATTAACCTTAATTTCAAGACTATTTTGATGGAGCTTTAAGGTTTCTGGTATGCCATTTACACAAACGATGCCTTCCTATATTTAAGTTCCTCCTACTCAGAAAATAAGATTTTAACTCTTTCAGATCATCTGGTATCCCTTTCATCCCCTCTCAAGTCCCTTCTCCTTTCTCTGCCCTGCTTTGTGCCCCAGGATGCTGACCCTAGTGGACTGCATCTCCTGGGCTTCCTGTTGGCCAATGGGAGGCTGCAGCAGACCAAAGGATTGGAGAGAGGTTGGGTATTACTTCCCCTCCCTGCCTACTTCAGCACCCGTGTGCCTGGTAGAGGTGGTTTCCCTCCACAACTCTACCGCTTCTATAGTGCAGTCCTTTCTTCCCATTTCCAGCTCTCACTAGGTTCCAGTAACTGACCTTTCATCCTCAACCCTCAGTCCCTTCAGACTTAGGCTTCCCGCTGCTGCTAGTCACTGGATGCTTTGCCATTGCTCGTTTGTTCCCTTAACTCTAACTAAACCTCTGTATGTAGTCACTTCATTAAGGAGTCTTTATTTGAACCAGCCATGGGTACATTCTGTTCCCTCCAGAACCCTGACTGGCACAGGACCCAGGATGTATGGACATTTAGCTAGTATTGAGTTCACTGAGAAGATAATGCAGGGACTTTGTGAATTAGTGTCATTAGTGTCCATTGCTATGGCAGAGAGCTGTACAGTGTTAGGAGGGGAAGCCCATTAACTGTGTTTTTAGAAAGATTCTATCTCTAGAGTAGATCACCAGTTGTAGGTAAAACAACCATTGTAGGTAAAGTAGAGAGAACACTAACATGAATTCTGAAAACTGGACCCTTTGACCTAGAAAGTAATCAGGTTCTTTTTTTTTTCCTCTTATATTTCATCCAGATGAAGTAAAACCCTGCTTTTGGAAGCGACTGGGTTGGTCTGAACCATCCAGGTAATGAGATATCAGATGTTTGTAAGTCAAAGTTCGTGGTTTATAGACAACATGAGCAGAGTTAAAACATTTATCAGTGTCTAAATAAACATTAATGACAAAGATTTGAATTCAGACAAAATTGCTCAATTTAAAACATGTTAATGTTTATAGTTAATTAAAATATAAAGTGAAATTAATGTCAACTTTGATTAAATAAGTGGCAGAGTCAGCCCAAGAACAGTTTTAATATGGAGGGGGTGCAGAAGATGCTGCCGTTAATTGCTTTGCAGTCATTTTGCATTTTCATGATACACTTTTGATCATTATCCCTCTTGATTATAAAGACCCAAATCCCCTTCCCTTGAATTCAGTTAAATAGAAAGATAATGTCGTTTGTGTCTTTGAGAAATATACATACTCACTTGAAACTCCCTTTTTTCGTTCTTTAAAAAACATGCGCACAGGATAATCGTGCTGGATCAGAGTGACTTGTCAGACTGACTGAACTGGATCGTGGATGGACTCCTGGCCTGGGTTTGAGTGTCCTGGTTCCGAGCTCCTTTCTTTGTCTGCTTCGGTTGCCATCAGGGCAGCAGCTGCAGGTCTTAACTCTCACCGTTCAACTGCCACAGCAGACATCATGGTTTGGCCCGTCTGTTGGCAGCACATTCAACCATTTTCAGTCAGGTTTCTGAAAACTGAGAGGTTTGTGATTGTAAACATTTTTTGTTGTGCCCAGAATGGCTTTTGGTTTGTTTTAAGTCCTGTTATATAATAAAATGTTTACTTTTAATACCCATTAAGTTTCAGTGGTGAAAGATATATTTCTGTGTTTGAATTGCTGGGAGCTGGGGAGAGAACTGCCACCCAGAGAGGCTTCAATTTCTGTTCTAAAGTTTGACAAATAGGCCGCTACTGCTTCCACTCATTATACAGACTAGCACCAGTCATCGTGTTTTATAATAGAAATACCGCCTGTCCTCTTGGCTGAGATAGCCATATTCCCATTCCAGCTAGAATTGCCTTACAGTACTGGTAGCAATAAAATCCTAAGATATTTTGAACTCTTTAAGGTGAACAGACATTATCTTCATATATTTTGGATTGTGCACCTCACATCATTAACATGCTGGAGTAATGAACTTGTGGTAAGACTAAGGTCACAACATTTTCTCTATTTTAGCTTCTTGTGACTACTGGCTAAATGCATAACATGTGTCTAGCCTGGTGTTTAGAGGATTCATATACCTTCATCTAACTCCAGTTTGGAGTTTTCACATATGAATAAAAACCTTTTCTTGGAAACTATGTGCTGTTTTACATAGTATTAGCCAGCTAACATTTTATTCTGTCTTGGTGAGTAAGTAATAGGATTTTTGTGTATGAAAACTGAACAGTTCCTATTGTGGATGGTTATATTCATACTTCTTTTATCCCAGAAATTTTACCCTGCACAGATAAAATGGGAAGGTACAGATCTATTTGACCATTTTAAAGTAAGGAAACAGTTCCTTGCCATTATAACCAGAGGAACAAGTAAGTTTATAAATAATACTATGTAAAGAAACTTTGAGGGATACAGAGGCTTACAGTACCAGTCTTCCTCTCAAAAAACATATTTTAATTGATGAGACAAAACCAATATACAGGCAGGTGTAGTGGCTCACTCCTGTAATCCTAACACTCTGGGAGGCCGAGGCGGGAGGATCACTTGAGCTCTGAAGTTTAAGACCAGCCTGAGCAAGAGTGAGACCCCGTCTCTACTAAAAATACAAAAATTAGCCAGGCATCATGGCATGCGCCTATAGTCCCAGCCATTTGGGATGCTGAGGCAGGAGGATCGCTTGAGCCTAGGAGTTTCAGGTTGCTGTGAGCTATGATAACACCACTGCACTCAAGTCGGGGTGATAGAGTGAGACTCTGTCTCAAAAAAAAAAAAGAAAAAAAATACCAACATACATAAAAAGGTAAGGACTATTAGCAGATGTGTCATAATAAATGAGTTATATTATGGCATTAACTATTAGTATTCATAAAGGATGCAGGTCCTGCACAAACTCCTGCTGATAAGGATTGTAATCTCCTATATACAGAGTAAATGCTTCTATCTGGCCAGTGACTATGTAATACTGGCCAATATTAACAATAATAATAATGCTGGTAGGTATTTATTGGTTATAGAGCAACTATGATGTGCCAGTTACTTTATACACATGAATCCTTTTCCTGCACATAGCAGTCCCACTATGTTTCTTTTTTTTTTTTTGAGACAGAGTCTCACTCTGTTGCCTGGGCTAGAGTGCCGTGGCGTCAGCCTAGCTCACAGCAACCTCAAACTTCTGGTCTCAAGCGATCCTCCTGCCTCAGCCTCCCGAGTTGCTGGGACTACAGGCATGCGCCACCATGCCCGGCTAATTTTTTCTATATTTTTAGTTGTCCAATTAATTTCTTTCTATTCTTAGTAGAGACGGGGTCTCGCTCTTGCTCAGGCTGGTTTCGAACTCCTGAGCTCAAACAATCCGCCCACCTCGGCCTCCCAGAGAGCTAGGATTACAGGCGTGAGCCACCGCACCCGGCCCCACTATGTTTCTTTAGTATGCTACTTCTCCCACTCTCGTCAGCTATTTCAAACTTCTAACCCTCACTTCTCAACACTCAACAGATGACTGTACCTCCAACTTTACAGAAAAAATAGAAGCCATCAGATGGGAACTAACTCAGCTTCCTACCACCAAAACTACTAACATGACCACATCTACCTCTGTAGATAGACGTAGTTGTAGGTAAAGCAGTCTACCCTGAACTAGAGATGGACCTATTCTATACCTGTTATTTTTGCTTTCCTTCCTGTTATGCTGAAGGAAGTGTTCCTTTTCCTGTTTTAGGCCAATCTCGTTTTTTGTCCACTCAGGGTTATCCTTCCCAGGTTATCCTATTTTCAGTAGCTTCAACCCCTTCTTCTATATGAGCTTTTTTCATAAGCATTAACACCCTTGGATTTTCCTATCTTTAAAAAGTGTTCCCTGGATCCCATCTTCCTTTCCAGCTACTGTCTCATCACTCTCCTCCCACTGCAGTTAGAGTTCTCAAAATAGTTGTCTGCACCTATGTTTAGTGCCTCATCTCCCGCTCACTCCTCAATGTACTAGAATCTGAATTCTACTCCTTCCATTCTCTAGTGGTCACTAAGGTCACCAGTGGTTTTCCTATTCCTGAAACCCATGGACACTTTGGCTTCATTGTCATTTGCTCTCTTATGCTATTCCCTTGGCTTCCTTGATGGTTTTCCTCAGACTTTCCTTCTGTCTCTCTGGTTACTTCACCTCAGCCTCCTATAAGGATTCCACCTCTATCTTTTCTCACTCCAAGTTCTCCTCCTAAGAGACCTTTTTCACTCCCATGGCTTCAGTTAGCACAGGACTGACAACTCCCAGATATGTATTATGAGCCTAGGGCCAGAGTACCCACATAATCAATGTCTCTACTTGGATTTCCTTCAGGTGTCTTACTGACATACCTAGTACTGAACTCACAGTCTTAACCTCCTCCACCTCCAGCATTCCTCTTCCAATCAGTGGTATCATTGTCCAGTCAGCCACTCAAACCAGAAACCCAGGAGCCATCTTTGACTCTCCTCCCACTCCTTTACTTCTTACATAAAAAAAAAATCAATCATTAGCCAGGTGCTGTGGCACATGCCTGTAGTCCCAGCTACGGGGAGGCCTCCAAAATATATGTCTCTTATACCCACCTTCTCTCCATTTCAATTGCCACTAGCCTCCCTCATTCAGACCACTAGTAACTCTTACCTGAACTATTACAACAGCCTCCTCAAGTGGCCTTTTCCATCCAATCCCACACTCAACACACCTTTTTGAGTGACTCCTATATGCCAGACACCTCTCTAAGTGCTTGGGCAACAGTGAACAAAGCAGAGCTTTGGCTGTCCTGAGTTAAATAAGCAAATAGATCACATGGTAAATGCTATGAAGAAAAGAAACAGGTTAAAGTGACAATGATGGGCAGGGGCAACTTATCATTGGGTAGGGTATTCAAGGGAAAGCTGCCCTGAAGAGGTGGCTTTTAAGCTTTGATTGGAATGATAAGAAGCCAGTCTTGCGACTCTAGGGGATGAGCATTCCAGCAAGGGGAATAGCAAGTTGCAAAGGATCCATGGGAAACACCAAACTGGAACAGCAAAAGGCCAGGCCAGTGTGGTGGAGCAGAGTAAACCGTGGGGAGGCTGACTGGAGGTGAAGTGAGACGAGACTGGACAGGGATTATAGACCACAGTACAAGGTAGAAATCCAATGGAAGATTCTAAGTAGCGGGGGCAGAGAGAGGGATAAAACTAACTGACTTAAAATTTTTAAAGATTTCTTTGGTACTCTTGCTTCTCTAATTTTTTTCTCCACAGAAATTTTTTTTTTGGAGACGAAGTCTTGCTCTGTCACCTGGGTTAGAGTGCCATGGCACGTCAGCCTAGCTCACAGCAACCTCAAACTCATGGGCTCAAGTGATTGTTCTGCCTCAGCCTCCCGAATACCCAGGACTATAGGTAGGCACCACCATACCTGGCTACTTTTTTCTTTTGAGAGGGGGTAGAGATGGGGGGGGGTCTCACTTTCTTGCCCAGGCTGGTCTCAAACTGCTAGCCTCAAATGATCCTCTTGCCTTGACCTCCCAAAGCACTGGGATTACAGGCATGAAAAAGCTGAGTCTTTGTACCAAAAAATAAATATCTGATTAATCAAAAATTTAAATGTAAAAGTAAATACATAAAGGTTAAGCAAATCTAGGTTACTGTTTTTTAATCTTGGGGTAGAGAAAGCTTTTCTAAATCATGACCTCAAAGTGAGAAGAGGTTGGTGAGTTTAGTATATAAAAATGTAAAACTTCTTTACCACAAATAGTGCCTCAACAAGGATAAAGTTAACAAAGTGAGTGTAAATAATTGCAATATATTGCATAAACAAAAGGTTTATATTCCAAAGATATAAAGAGTTCTATGGCCAGGTGTGGTGGCTCATGCCTGTAATTCTGGGAGGCGGAGACGGGAGGATCGCTTGGGGTCAGGAGTTCGAGACCAGTCTGAGCACGAGCAAGACCCCCGTCTCTACTAAAAATAGAAAAATTAGCCGGGCATGGTGGCTTGCACCTGTAGTCCCAGCTACTCAGGAAGATCGCTTGAGCCCAGGAGTTTGAGGTTGCTGTGAGCTAGGCTGACGCCGCGGCACTCTAGCCCAGGCAAGAGAGTGAGACTCTGTCTCAATAATAAAAAAAAAAAAGTTCTACTAACATGTAAGAAAAACACCCTAATAGAAAAATAGGCAAAAAACAATTCACAAAAGAAGCAATATAGATGGCCAATTAGCATATTAAAAGATGTTCTGTTTCACTAGTAATCAAAGGAATGCTAATTAAAACAGAATATTGTTTTTCATTTAACTGATGGCAAAGAGGAAGAATATAATTTCTAAGGCTGTGAGTATGTGGGGAAACAGACATCTTCATTCACTGTGTTGGGGGTATAAATTGGTACCACTTATCTGGAGGGATGGATATTTGCCAGTATGTATTTTAAATGTGACTATTTTTTGACCCAAAATTCCATTTAGACCAGTACTTCAGAAATTTTATTGTACACATGAATCACCTGGAGATTGTGTTAAAATACAGATTCTCACCGAATAGGTCTGAGGAGGGGCCCAAGCTCCTATACTTCTAATAAGCTCCCAGGTGGTGGCCGTGCTGCTGGTCCATCCAGACTTACAGGACTTTATCCTAAAGCCGTGTTCCAGAACCCTGGCTGCACATTAGAACCTTCTGAGGAGGTTTTAAAAATACTAATGTTCAGGCCTTAGCCTCAAATTATTTGATTTATTTTGTCTGAGGTGGAGCATGGGCTTTAAAAAGCTCTCCAGGTGATTCTAATGTGCAGTCAGGATTTAGAACTATTGTCCTAAGGAGAAAATTGGACTGTACACAATGATGTGTTTTCATAAAAGGATGTTTATTGCAACATTGTTTATAATATCACAAAATTAGAAATAACCCAAATAAGCTGGGTGTAGTTGCAAGCCCCTGTAGTCCTAATACCTGTAGTCCTGTAGTCCCAGCTAATTAGGACACTGAGGCAGGAGGATCACTTGAGCCCAGTAGTTTAAGGCTGTAATGGGCAATGATCGCACCTGTAAATAGCCACTGCACTCCAGCCTGAGCAACATAGTGAGAAAAAAAATAACCTAATGGCCAGCAATAAAGGACAGGTTGAGAAAATTATGGAACAACTATAAATGTATTAATTAGAAATTATACCATAGATATAGATTTGTTGACACAGAAGAATGTCCATAGCATATTATGGAATAATGCTAGTGGGTTTATAATAGGACCTCATTTATATAAATTTATAAATGTCTACATATGGTAAATGCATAGGAAGATACCTGGAAAGATGCTTATTAAAATAGCGAAGTGGTCCTTTCAGGTAATTTTAACTTTTTATAATTCTTTGTAAAGCTGTTTTCATTTTGGGTAATAGAAAGAGTTTAGAAATACTTAAAACTCAAATCAGCTGGGCACAGTGGCACACACCTGTAGTCCCAACTATTCAGGAGACTGAGTCAGAAGGATGACTTGAGCCCAGGAGTTCACAACAACCTGGGCAATACAGCAAGATCCTGTCTCAATATAAATAAATAAATAAAATAAACAAATCAGTGGGAGGGAGGACTAGAATGTCATTAAAATTAAATAGCCATAAACCTAATCAATTTATTATAGCTCATTTGAGGAAAAACTGTTTAATACAAAAGAATGATCAATGTAGAGCATAGAAAAATAAAGCTGCCCATCCTATAACCTCAACCCTTCATAGTCAGTAATGTGTTTGGATATGGGAGGGTCTACATCAGAGAGAGAGACAGAGTAAGAGAGGGCATGTGAAAAGGAGATAAATATGACAGAGCCTCTCATCCAAAATGGTCATCCAAATTGGAAAGTCACTCTCCAAATCAAGAGAGAACCAGAGTGCAGCTGGTTGGATAGCTGACAGGAAAGGATCATGAGAAAGGACACAAAGATTTGTTGTGTGACATCCATGTACCAGGCAATGGTGCAAGTCAGGTAACTTGTCCAAGGTGCACAAGAAGTTGTTTATGACTGAAACCAATGACTAACTCCAAATCCCCTCTAAAATACTACACTCTCCATGGACCAAGAACATGCAAATTTATGATTTGAGCAACCTGGATTTTTACCCCAGGGTCAACCAAACCGTCCATGAAACCTGGAAAAGGCTGGAGCTCTGTTTTGGCTTTTATACAATGCAGTTTCAAACAAAATCGGGACAACTTTGTACCTTATTAAAACTGGGGTTAACACAGCGTGATTGGTTTCAGTAGCCTTGCTGTCACAAGATCTTCTGGCTTATTCCTTCTCTGGATGAGTCCTTGAGAATTCTTAGAATCTGGGGAGAGGAGGGTCTGGAGCCTTCCCTATATACAAGGAAATCCCAGTTTTGTTAAGATCTTGGCCCAAGGTTTGGTGATGTCAATTCTGAAGACAAATCCAGTTTCCTTTTGGTACTGCCTGAGATTTTCTGAAGAACTGTGGCTGTACAGCAAGATGCACAGCTCCTTCCTTTATGACATCACCAGACAGAGAGGTAGCTAAGGGGCCTATTTGAGACACTCTTAGAACAGCAGCCATTTGAGACACTTTTAGAACAACAGCCACTTTTGTGGGATCCCAAGAACAACAGCTTTTAAAACTGGGGGTAAATATTCAGGCTTCATTAGGATCCTGAATACAAGCCAGATGATAAAATATGGGGTCTACTCAGAAGGGGACAGTCTATCAGATGGTCAAGACAAGTAAAACTGGGTCCAAGATAGCAGTTTCAGCACAGAGAGGGGCTGAGGTTTCTATGGGCACAACCCCTCAGCGGGGACATGGGTACGTTCTTACCTCAAGCCAGCGAAATGCTGCAGTCTCCCTGAGCCCTTCCCAGCGAAGATCAGAAGCTGCAACTCTCACCACTCCTCATTCAACATCAGACTATCCTCGATCTTTCTCCCCGAAGTCAGGGCCCAATGTCTCAGCAGTACCCATCCCTCGGGGAACTGAGTCGCGTTCAAGAACAGAAGGATCCCGCCATTCCTCTCCTCATCGAAAGATCCAGCAGACACCAACTTCCCATTCTGTAAGCATACATCAGAATGTTAGTCCAGTCAGAGAGGAAGCAACACGAAGAGGTGGTGAGACCAAGCCATCACGTGAGGTCGGCCATCATGCCTCATCAACCCCAGATGCCAAATCCTTTCGTCGGTTGAGTTTTCTAGACCACAAGGATAACTTACAATCACAAATCTTAGAAGATGACCTGCCTTCCAAGGTCCAGAACCCCCAAGGGGTCAGAGTTCCCCGTAGGATTTCAGCTTACCCAAAGGATGAAGCAGTACAAACTGAGCCCATCCGAAGGATTTTGACTGCTAGTGAGGTCAAATCTCCAAGGAGTCCCTCTAGCCCAGAGCGTGGCAGCAGCCGTGTCTATGAACATCGGACAGTCCAGAAAAGGACACCTGGAGAAGAGCCAGAAACGGGTCCCCACCGCTCAGTTCCTCCAGACCCCAAGGCCTTGTATAGGAATACGAACTTGGAATCATCCCTCAAACTCTCTGTCCTTAGGGATTTGGATAGTGGACACCGAGTTTCTGTGCGGCCAGACCCTGCGTCTCTCCGAAAGCATTATGCCTACCCCGAAACCAAGCCCTCTGCAAAAGTCTTAATATCATCAGAGGTGGAGTCCAACATGAGGTCCCCAATCCGAGGAGACAGTGAGGTTGGCCGCAGGGTCACCATCTCTGCAGGGGAACAGCCAGTACAGTCAACTCACCGTATGACAGCTCGATCAGTGTCTGGGAGCCCCCACAGATCTTCCATGTTTGTCACTCCAGAGCCCATTTATAAACAGAAAACCCAAAGACCCAGAGAAAGTATCTACATGTCCTTAGCACCCTCACGAAAGTCCTCCATCCACGCAGAACTGGAACTGACTCCTCGGCCCTTGCCACCTAGGTCCTTACCTCGGTATGAGCCCGACTCCTCATGGTGGGACTTACTGAATCCTGAAGTGGAAACGCCACAAAGCCGGCCGACAACACCTGATTTTGAGCCTAAGTCCCCTTCTTCCCTAGACCCTTTATTGTGCCATTTTAAAATGGACTCAAGCCCTTTCTATGAGGACATGATGTTCCAGAGAGAGAAGGCAAGCCCATCACCACCACCACCAAAGGATTCTCCAAGTCGGGCACCACTGAGGGAAGTGTCACAGGCCACCAAGCACACCTGCAAACAACCCATTCAAAGGTTTAGTGCTTTCTTCCTGGGTATGTGAAGAAGCAGACTGGCCAGGTGCAGCCCTGATTTAGTGAGATGGGGTGTTGGAGTGGGCAGGAAAGGCCTCCTCTTCATTCTGGGCCTCAGGACTGCCCTCCTGCCAGTGCCAAAGCTAGTCCTGTCCTTGAGCCCATTGCTCCATTCCTTCCCTGCCAGCTTCTCTGAGTGCCAAGCTAATGACATCGATGACAATGCTTCGGCCCAGTGTCAGGCATTGACTCTTCCAGGCAACACTGCTTAACTTTTCAATGGAAGGTAGTAGAAAGTAGTTTACAGGGTCGGAAGCTGCTTCCTGAGAGTGGAGATGAAGAACTGAGCTGGGGTGAGGGCTGGTAAGGGCTGTTAAAGAGAATAAGGACCTCAGGTAAATATTCTGGCAACAAAGTGGAGAAGGTGGGTGTAGATGAGCTGGGACTTGAACTTCCAGGAGGGGAAAGGCACCCACAGGGACAGAGAGTAGGTGCAAAAAAGGGAGAGGGAGAGTGGGAATGTGATGTTTACTCATAGGCTGCAGGACTTCTTGGAGAAGATCGAGGGCTGAGGGTACCTCTGGGTGGAGAAATGTTGAGCTAGAAAGGGAGATGCAAGTAATAGCGGTGGGGGTGTGCATCCCACAGAGAGAAGTAAAGCAACCATCTCTCTGTTACTTTCAGATGTCTCTGAGGAAATGTACAATCGTGTCATCTGGTGGCTAAAAGGTCTGTGCTTTTCTGTCCTGTGGGCCCATAGTGGAGGATTGGGGGGTGGGAAGACAGGTGAGAGGGTGGTGTCTATGTATCTGTAGAGCTAGGTCCTTTAGGAGATACGTGGTGGGGTTTTGACCTGAAGGAACAGAGGAACTTCTCATCTTGCCTTAAATTCCACCATTAGAATCATTCCTTTGGGGCTTAGAACCTTTCTCATTTTTAAGAGTCTCCTTTTAATGGGAAATCACTTCTGGAATGAAGAACAATTTAAGCCCCATGGCTTTTCCACTTAGCTGGTCTTACCTATCATGTGATTAAAAAAAAAAAAACACCAAAGCAAACTACCTGCTTCACAGTCTTGCTCAGGGCTGAGTCCACATTAATTTGAGTTGGGGACTCTTCTCACGTGTCTCTCTGGTTCCTCAGAACCCTCCTCCAGCCCCCACCCTACAACCTGGGAGGTACTTAATTGACTACTGCCCAGGCAGGATCCCCAGAGATGTCTGGGCCTGCCCCTTGAGGCCGTCAGTGGGTCTTGCAGCTCTAGAATCCTTAAGAGAATTGTCCCCAGGGCCTCATGACCCTCCACTCCTTTGTACTCTTGGCCTCTCTGGTGGCAGGGGAGGGTGGGGACCAGCCCTTATACAGCAATTCTTGGCAGCAGGGACTTGCTGTGAGTATTGTGGCCCAAAATATGCCCCAGCCCTATGAGCATGACAGGTCAGGGCTCTGCATAAAGCAGTTCCTGGGAAGGAGGGAGCCCTGGGAATGCAGTCCAGTCCCAACCAGCATGAGCCTGCCAAGTGATGGATGGCAAAGAGCAGCAAAGCTCTTTAAAGTGGGGGTGTAGTAAAGTATGGCCTTTGGAGTTATCTTACTGGGTTTGAGCCTTGGGTCCATTATTTTCTGACTGTGACCTTGAGTTTGGTAAGTTATTTTACCTCTCTAAGCCTCAGTTTCCCCATCTGTTAATGGGAATAATGGCTTCCTTTAAGGATTATTGTGAGGACTGTTACAAGATATTACGTGTAAAGCACTTAGCATGGTGCTTTGCAGTAGTGAGCACTCAGCATATACTAGCTATTATTATCTGGGCCACTTGCACTAGGAAGGGATTTGGGCCAGGTTATGCCCAAGTCCACTGGGCATCTTTAGTAAAATTCTCTTTTTCCCCTCCTGTTGGTACTCTCTGAATTCATTTGCTGTCCCCCGGGGAATGCCTGGCTTCTACTTCTCTGATATGACAGATGAGGAGGTAAGAATGTCCCTGGGAGGTTACTTCCAGTCTTCCTGTGCCCCCTCCCACACCCCATCAAGTCCTTTTTCTGGCCTCTGATGAAAGGGGGTGTGGAGAGAGACAGAGCTGCTCCCTATGGTTGGGCAGGTTGTTCACTGCACAAGGGCACCTGGTAGAGGGGGCAAGTGGGGGCTGAACTCTAAGCTGTGCTGCACTTGCCAAGCTATGCACCTGTGGGGCTGCATCTCCCAGAGGGGAGGTTGGCACAAAAGTGCTATACGAGCTAGTGGCAGCCTTAGAGAGAAAGAATAGAAACCTTTTGGCAGATGACAAATCCTGCCAAGTGCCCTGTGGAAAGATGGGGCAGCCATGGATTGAATCAGTCCCCACCTGACTCTCCCCTCTCCAGCCTGGGGCACTCCAGAAAAGGGTTGCTTTTTTGGGTTACACACTATTTGGGTCCTTAACTTGGAAAAACTCAAAGTAGACTCTGCTCTTGGCCGTCTTGTGTCCTGAATTTGGCAACATAGTGTCCTTATTTCGTAGTGCATTGTTCCCATAAGTACTTTGGCTCTTCTTGGCCCATGTTTGGTAAGATGGTCAAAGCTACTTCCATTCTTTCTCTTGCCATATTTTTGTCTTACCCAAAACCTAGCAATGACTTCTAATGGGTCCCATCCATGGGCTAGCCCAGGATGGACAGTTGACTTCAAATGGAAAACAAATGAGCAGGGGGGCAGCCCGAGCTCAGATAACAGAACAGCTGAAGGGAAGGTGTCCAGAAATGCCGCTGCCACCCCCTCTACCATGGGTTCTTATCTAGCCCCATGCCCTGAGCTCAGCTGTGGGTGGGAACAGCTACTTTTAGAGATTATCTTTGTTTAAGACAGTAAATCCTTCCATCCCTCCCTTCCTTTCTTCCTTCCTCCCTCCCTCCCTTCCATAGACAATTTTTATTCAGATGTCCATAGCACTCTGCTAGGCACTACTGGGGCAGCACTGAAGCTTTACAGCATACATTCTTTGTCCTTGAGAAACCATCTGGTTGGAGAGATAAGACACGGACAGGAAACATTTAAACAATAATATGAAATAGTTTGTGCTCAAATGTCAAAATAGATGGAACAGACTCAATAATGCTCTTGGAGGGTCGTAGGAAAGAGGGAGTCAGTGGGAGGTGGGTAGAGGTTCAAGTTTTGCCCTCCTTCCCAAAGTTGGGGAGGTTTCTTTACAGCTAGTCTCTTGCTCATCCATAGATACAAATCTGTACCTTTGGGAATGGATTACTATTTCCCTTAATTCAAGATTTGATGTTTTTGGCTGAGCAGGCTCCTCCCTTTTCTCCTCCACCCTCACTGTCTTTTTCTGTGCATCTTGTTTTAGTTTAGGAAGTCAAAAGCCTTGGCAGCAGGGCGGCTACTTCCCAAAATAGCTCTTATCCTGTCTCGATAATTACAGCTCTCCAGCCCTGTTCGGCAACAGAGCTGGTCCTCAGAAGCTGGGAAGAAGAGAAGGCTCCCAGGCAGCCAGGCTGCCGGTCTTCTCTGGCTCTGGGGCGGTAGGGTGGCATGGAGATGGACCAGTACTCTCCCTGCAAAGCACGAGAGAGCTAGGCTTTCCCCAGCCTGTCTCCTAGGCCGCATGGTCCTCAGGCAGTCTCGGGATGGAGGCTCTGAGGTGCTGGTGTCCAAGGGCCCTCTGGTTCCTCTGATCTGGGGACGGTTGACCATAGAGTGTTCCAGATTCCATTCCAGGCGGGAATTCTCTGGTGGCCAGCCACAGCGCCTGGCTCGAGAGAGGCAGCATGTTTGTTGTTCAGCTTCACGAGCCTCTCTGGATAAACAGCTGGGGATAGTGCCTGAGTCAGCCTCTCTCTCTCTCTATGTGTCAGCACCCCCTCCAAAGGGCCCCTCAAGACCCTCTTTCTAAGGAGTGGGGGGGACAGATGCTTGGATTGGGACATTAGGGGCTGGAGCCTCCCTAGAGGAGGGTGTGCTGGATTGAGGGAAGCATTCCTGATGGGCTTTTTTTGGTATCAGAACTAGCAGAAGCTCACAGGAAGGTCCTGGGGGTGCCCTATTCGGTCAGCGGAGACTGCCTTCTCACACAGCCCTGGGGAGTTCCTGGAAATAAAGCAGTTCTTGACAGGAGGGGCTGCAATGCCTCTGATAGACAGGGGTGCCCTAGCCCCAAGATCCTGTGTCCTTAAGGCACCTGACCTACTCATCCTTAAATGTGACTTCTCAGGCTGTCAGAGGACAAGGTGGTTTACTCTCTGCTGTATCTATCAATGATGCAAGAAACCGACTCTGGAAAACAGGTCAGGAACCTGAGGAGGCTGTCTCAGTGATACCTATGGCAGACCTCAGTGTCTTTGGGGTGACACGTCATTTGTCCCCTGAGGGACAGGATGATCGGTCTCCTGTTGGCTCCTGAACACAGGAAAGTTTTGCTCAGGTGAACTTCCTCTGTAAAGAACAATCCAAAGCCTCCAAGGAACTCAGGGAGTTTCTGCATTTGTGAGGATGTTAGCAGAATCCTAGGATATAGGCTGTCTCAAAGGAACCCTAGGAACTGTCTTTCCAGTTCCCCTCATTTTCTCCTGCATTGCATATCGGCTTGTAGTTGAGAGGAAAGGGAATTGTTGAAAGAATGGAGCGGAGCTGTTGAAAATAGAGCAGGACACCTCAGGAGGCTTTTTATAGCAGCTTGACCCTCACTCCACAGCTTCTTAGGAAGCAGGGATCTTATCCTGTCAGATGGCACCTTGTTCATTTCCAGCTACCGCAGACAATTCCAGAGCAGCGTGGAAGGCTGGTGACCTCTGGCCAAGACTCACTAATTTGGGGACAGGCTAGGTTGACCAACTCATCAGGGTTTGCCTGAGATTTTTCTGATTTTAGTACTAGAAGTCCCTCATCGCAAGAACCTCCTCAGTCCTGGGCAAACTGAGATAGCTGGTCACCAAGGACAAGCTGTGGGGCATTTGGCCTCAGCGAGAGCCCTTGGAAGCACAGGGTTGGGGGATGATGTCCCAGCTTCACTGTGAGACCCGGGCAGGTTACTTCCTCTGCCTATAAAATGAGGGCCTTCCTCTTGGGCTTGATGGCAGAACTGAGGCCAGAGTCCTTTAGTTTTTTTTCTTCCCAGAGTGATCCTACATAGGAAGAATCTGCCAAATCCATTTTGGACTTTCTGGTGTATTTTCAGAAGCTACTTCGTGACTAGAACCCATCTCCAACATCACATCTTTCTGTCAGAATAGTCTGATGGTGTTTGAAATGGTGGGGTTTTCAGGTAAAAGGAGAAACAGTGGGCCTGAGTAGATTAGAGAGCTTGGCTTCTGAGATCAGGGTACATACTTGGGTGAGGAAGCAAACCTGTGACCCAGAAGCCACCCTGACAATTGCTCAGCCAGAGGCAGGCTGTCCGGAGTGGCAGAAGTGGCCATGTCCCTTTACCCTCCTCCGCTCAGCTGCCTTTGGCTCAGCTGCTGTGCAGGGAGCAGCAGGAGACAGCTGTACCTTGGGGGCTGACCGAAGGCCTGGAGGAGGGGGAGGGAATGTGAGGCAGTTCCTGAGAGAAGCTCAGGCCCTGACACTGAGGGTGTCACTTCCTTGGCACAGCCACTGCAGGCAAAGTCATCTAGCTCCAGGGGTCTCCACGGTGCCTGTTTCTGGGAATTGGATCAGCAGGTCTTAGGCCAAGACCTGCTTTCTAGAGATGGTGTGGTATGTAGCAGGTGGTGGCAGCATGGTCATTCCAATGTCACTTTAGTCTCAGGCATTACTCTGGGATTCTTTCTCCTCCCATCCATCTACACCCACTACACATGCACACTCATAATCCTTTGGAGGAAAG